GAGAGAACAGGTGTGAGGGTACAGGTGTGAGGGGACAGGTTTGTGAGGGGGAACAGGTGTGAGAGGACAGGTGTGAGAGGACAGGTGTTAGAGGACAGGTGTGAGAGAGAACAGGTGTGAGAGAACAGGTGTGAGGGGGTACAGGTGTGAGGGGACAGGTGTGAGAGGGGACAGGTGTGAGAGGACAGGTGTGAGAGAGAACAGGTGTGAGAGGACAGGTGTGAAGGGGGGACAGGTCTGAGGGGGGACAGGTGTGAGAGGACAGCTGTGAGAGAGGACAGGTGTGAGGGGACAGGTGTGAGAGGACAGGTGTGAGGGGGGACAGGTGTGAGAGGTCAGTGTAAGAGAGAACAGGTGTGAGAGGACAGGTGTGAGGGGCGACAGGTGTGAGGGAGGACAGGTGTGAGGGGGGACAGGTGTGAGAGGACAGGTGTGAGAGGGGACAGGTGTGAGTGGGGACAGGTGTGAGAGGGGACAGGTGTCAGGGGGGACAGGTCTTAGAGGGGACATGTGTGAGGGGGGACAGGTGTGAGAGGACAGGTGTGAGAGGGGACAGGTGTCAGGGGGACAGGTCTTAGAGGGGACATGTGTGAGGGGGGACAGGTGTGAGAGGACAGGTGTGAAAGAGAACAGGTGTGAGAGAGGACAGAGCTGAGTGGGGACAGGTGTGAGAGGACAGGTGTGAGGGGGGACATGTGTGAGAGGACAGGAGTGAGGAGACAGGTGTGAGAGGACAGGTGTGAGAGAGGACAGGTGTGAGGGGACAGGTGTGAGAGGACAGGTGTGAGGGGGACAGGTGTGAGAGGTCAGTGTAAGAGAGAACAGGTGTGAGAGGACAGGTGTGAAAGAGAACAGGTGTGAGAGAGGACAGAGCTGAGTGGGGACAGGTGTGAGAGGACAGGTGTGAGGGGGGACAGGTGTGAGAGGACAGGTGTGAGAGGGGACAGGTGTCAGGGGGGACAGGTCTTAGAGGGGACATGTGTGAGAGGACAGGTGTGAAAGAGAACAGGTGTGAGAGAGGACAGAGCTGAGTGGGGACAGGTGTGAGAGGACAGGTGTGAGGGGGGACATGTGTGAGAGGACAGGAGTGAGGAGACAGGTGTGAGAGGACATGTGTGAGGGGGGACATGTGTGATTGGACAGGTGTGAGAGGGCACAGGTGTGAGAGGACAGGTGTGAGAGAGGACAGGTGTGAGGGGACAGGTGTGAGAGGACAGGTGTGAGGGGGGACAGGTGTGAGAGGTCAGTGTAAGAGAGAACAGGTGTGAGAGGACAGGTGTGAGGGGGGACAGGTGTGAGGGAGGACAGGTGTGAGGGGACAGGTGTGAGAGGACAGGTGTGAGAGGGGACAGGTGTGAGAGGACAGGTGTGAGAGGGGACAGGTGTCAGGGGGGACATGTGTGAGAGGACAGGAGTGAGGAGACAGGTGTGAGAGGACATGTGTGAGGGGGTACATGTGTGAGTGGACAGGTGTGAGAGAGAACAGGTGTGAGGGGACAGGTGTGAAAGAGAACAGGTGTGAGGGGACAGGTCTTAGAGGGGACATGTGTAAGGGGGACAGGTGTGAGAGGACAGGTGTGAGAGAGAACAGGTGTGAGGGGACAGGTGTGAGAGGACAGGTGTTAGAGGACAGGTGTGAGAGAGAACAGGTGTGAGAGAACAGGTGTGAGGGGGTACAGGTGTGAGGGGACAGGTGTGAGAGGGGACAGGTGTGAGAGGACAGGTGTGAGAGGACAGGTGTGAGGGGACAGGTGTGAGGGGGGACAGGTGTGAAAGGTCAGTGTAAGAGAGAACAGGTGTGAGAGGACAGGTGTGAGGGGGGACAGGTGTGAGGGATGACAGGTGTGAGGGGGACAGGTGTGAGAGGACAGGTGTGAGAGGGGACAGGAGTCAGGGGGGACAGGTGTGAGGGGGGACAGGTGTGAGAGGACAGGTGCGAGAGTGGACAGGTGTGAGGGGGGACAGGTCTTAGAGGGGACATGTGTGAGAGGAGAGGTGTGAGAGAGAACAGGTGTGAGGGGACAGGTGTGAGAGGACAGGTGTTAGAGGACAGGTTTGAGAGAGAACAGGTGTGAGAGAACAGGTGTGAGGGGGTACAGGTGTGAGGGGACAGGTGTGAGGGGACAGGTGTGAGAGGGGACAGGTGTGAGAGGGGACAGGTCTTAGAGGGACATGTGTGAGGGGGACATGTGTGAGAGGACAGGTTTGAGAGAGACAGGTGTGAGAGGACAGGTGTGAAGGGGGGACAGGTCTGAGGGGGGACAGGTGTGAGAGGACAGCTGTGAGAGAGGACAGGTGTGAGGGGACAGGTGTGGGAGGACAGGTGTGAGGGGGGACAGGTGTGAGAGGTCAGTGTGAGAGAGAACAGGTGTGAGAGGACAGGTGTGAGGGGGGACAGGTGTGAGGGAGGACAGGTGTCAGGGGGCACAGGTCTTAGAGGGGACATGTGCGAGGGGGGACATGTGTGAGAGGACAGGTGTGAGGAGACAGGTGTGAGAGGACAGGTGTGAGAGGACAGGTGTGAGAGAGAACAGGTGTGAGAGGACAGGTGTGAGAGGGGACAGGTGTGAGGGGGGACAGGTCTTAGAGGGGACATGTGTGAGAGGACAGGTGTGAGAGAGAACAGGTGTGAGGGGGTACAGGTGTGAGAGGACAGGTGTGAGAGGGGACAGGTGTGAGAGGGGACAGGTCTTAGAGGGGACATGTGTGAGGGGACAGGTGTGAGAGGACAGGTGTGAGAGGGGGGACAGGTCTTAGAGGGGACATGTGGGAGGGGGGACATGTGTGAGAGGACAGGTGTGAGTGGGGACAGGTGTGAAAGAGAACAGGTGTGAGAGGGGACAGGTGTGAGAGGGGGGACAGGTCTTAGAGGGGACATGTGTGAGGGGGGACATGTGTGAGAGGACAGGTGTGAGTGGGGACAGGTGTGAAAGAGAACAGGTGTGAGGGGACAGGTGTGAAAGAGAACAGGTGTGAGAGGACAGGTGTGAAAGAGAACAGGTGTGAGAGAGGACAGAGCTGAGTCGGGACAGGTGTGAGAGGACACGTGTGAGGGCAGACAGGTGTGAAAGAGAACAGGTGTGAGAGAGGACAGGTGTGAGGACAGGTGTGAGAGAGGACAGGTGTGAAGGGGGGACAGGTGTGAGGGGACAGGTGTGAGGGGGGACAGGGTTAGGGGACAGGTGTGAGGGGGAAAGCTGAGAGAGGGGACAGGTGTGAGGGGACAGGTGTGAGGGGGGACAGGGTTAGGGGACAGGTGTGAGTGGGGACAGGTGTGAGAGGACAGGCCCCTCTTCTTTTTCTCGGCCTCGTAGACTTCCCCTGGTCCACGCTTCCCCTCTGAATTTGCCTGAGGTTCATAGCACGCTGATGTTACTCAGCGACATGTTTAAGAACCTGCAGCTGACCCTCGTCTCTGGACTTCTAGTCTTGGTTGGAAAAGCCAAGAAAGGTCAAATTTATGCAGATCTTGGAGATCTTCCCTCGCTGTCTGCTGGAGCCTCTGTTGGACGAATGATTTCATATCATTTCTCTGATCACATCAGCATAAAACCAGCAAAACATTCTCAAACAACAGAAAATACACAGCACGAGGACGACGTCCATCTGTGACGTGTGAATGTCACCATGTAGCAAATGAGAGGCAGACAAATATCAGACACATGATGTTTTGTATGTGAAACGCTCTCCATGAGCTGTCAGTCAAACAGGTAAAACATGCAGACACGTGCATTTGATCAGATCTGATCAGGATCTTGGGCGTGATTGGAAACGGCATCAGAAGCCAAGACTGCGTGCTGTGAGCTGGTTCTGTTTAAGAAACATGTGCTGCTCAGAAAGTGTGATAAAGTGTTTCACATCTTCTTTCAGGTAAAACTACAAACACGATGCAGCCGCCTCAGGAGCCTTGTCCCTCCATGACAGAACCTCCAGCCGAGAACTCGAGAGTCCATCAGAGTCCCGATGAAGCAGCTCTCTGCTGGAGCACAGACCTAGGTCACCTTCTAGAGGACGACGAGCAGGAGGAACATGATCCAGATCCACCTCAGGACCAGCCAGAGGTCCAGGAAGTAAAGCAGGGTGCAGCAGCTGATGACCAAGAGGCGGGAGGCCAGGAGCAGAAGGAGGACAGAGGTGAGAGGTCACGAACTGTTGTGTGAGGATAGCTGGACAGAAGCATCAGTTAAAACCAGGTTTAGGTTCTGAATGAACTCTGGTCATCATGTGACCACAGACGCTCGTACCTGACGCAATGCCAAAGCGCACCTGTCAGCAGAGAGAGCAGGCTGAGCAGCAGCCAGGTGAAGGTGTATCGGAGGCTCGTTTAAACGCTACTTCTTTGAGGGAACCGCGGCGTCAGCGGGCATCGTTACAGCGCGAGTGACGGAGCACGACTGAAGGCGGAGTAAACAGAGAAGAAGCTATCGCCGAAGCTAGGAGCGCTCCTCCTAGAGGAGCTGCCTCGGACCATCGCAGCGGCGACCATCCAACGGAAACGCAGCAGAGCTGACGCTGTAATATAGCAGTGCAGCTACCTGGGACTTTGTCTCACTCTGGAAAACGTTTGCCAGCCTCGGGAGCGTGGGACAGCTGCAAGATGGTGGCTCTGCAGCGTGTTTGTGATGCGCGCTGAGCGCAGGACTGAGCCTGAGAAAGGAAACGCAGGGCAAACAAGCAGAGGGCTGTGGTTTTGGTCGGCATCGTCATTCTGCAGCCAGCAGCTCGCCTCTGTGCCGCTGCCTCACGCTGTGACCGGGACTGACAGATTATTGGGAACACGCCGCGGCCGCTCGGCCTGCGTTACTCCCGCTGATCCCGATGAAGCTGCTGGTCTGTTTGGAGGCGGAGTTTCCCTCTGTGGTTTCTTCCCTCTGTCACAAGAACATGAGAACCTGAGAGGCTGCAGCAGTCAGTCAGAGTGCACCAATGCACCACAACAGGAAGTGATGGAGGTGTGATCACACCTCCACCTCTCTGCACATGTGAGAGCAGCTAATAGA